AACTTTGTCAATATTCCGCTAAAGTCGAGAAATTATAATTTCACAACTGTGGAGTTTCCATTAAATAAGAAACGTAAGTAAAATCACAAGTGAATGAGTTTATCCACTCAAAAAGTCCTTAAAAACATGCCGCTGACGATGATCCAACAACTTCCTGTCGTCTTCTCCTTCGTGGCCTGCGCCATAGCAACATCCGGTTGTTAATCACGTGACTCGCGTGGCGCGGAAGAACTGTTTCTGTTGCAGTTTTGTGAAATAAAACAGTTTCGATACGGCCAAAAAAGCCCATTATCCTTGCGCCAAAACGTTTAATCGACAAAAGAGAGTTTTTATTTCACAATGTCAAATTGCGGTGATTATGGTGATTAAAAACGTAGCTTCTGCGCTACCAGGGGCGGATCTACACGGGTGTTAAAAGGGACAACTACCATTCCGTATTCACATTAAGCAGAACAAAAATCACATCAAATAAGTGGAAATAAAAATGTCTCAATCATCCAGAGACAATAAAGACAATTAATTCTTCAACAGAATAATTTCAAGTTTATTTCATTTAGTTTCACATGAATCCCATAGAATAAGAATACGGCAAAACTTTGGAGAGTCTTGAATATTTTTTTCCGACTTATCATCATCATAAATACTAATATGAATACATCATACACAATAAAACACAGCACTATTTGAGGGCTTAGAGAGTATCACAAGACATCATTCACCACTAACGACAGACTATATTTCATTTCAGCATATTTATAAGAGCTACAGTGGAAGAGAAAGAAAGATGGAAAGGGAGAGAAAGCAAGTAGCTTCTAGATTGCCTGGATCTAAGAACCCTGATTTAAAAATAAAAAAGGGAGAGAGCGAGAACAAGATTTTACAATGACTAAAGTTCCACTGGAGCTGAACTACGGCTGTTTCTGTTGAGAGCTGTAGAAGCTGAATACCAATAAAACACATCTGCTATCGTTTGGCAAACATGCTGCTTGGAGATCCGTACGGAGGATGGGCAGCTGAAGCCGTACAGGTGTGTTTGCATCTGGATACAAGCAATTATTGCAGCACTTTGTGCTTTCAGTAGATTATGGCAGAGCTGCTGTAATAATCAGTGTTGTGTACCAAACATCGGGTACGCTGTGTAGTCTAGCTTTGTTCCTGAGCCTCGGCCTCTAACGTAGGATTACTGATGGAATGCCGGAGTTGGATGCATGCACTAAACCGGATTTGCAATCGGAAGAGGAGGAGAGTCGAGGGCGGGATGAAGACGGCGCGTTGTGTGTGGCACGACTATGATTTTTAGAAATCTAATAAACCCTCGTTTACTTTTTATTCTGTGTTGAAGTGATTAAAGTGTGACAAAAACACCATTAAAAAAAAACAAAACAAACACATGCAACTCTGTCTTAGGACTTTCCAAATCACAAAAAAGGCGATCGAGAAAGGGACAAGATTTTTTTTTCTTATTTTGACAAACAAAATAAAATAAATGCCATCCAAACAAGTACACAGAAACTCTTACTACACCATCTGATTTCACAATTTCCATACTGACAACACAGCAAATATGAGACGCCAAAGGTAATTTTCTTCTCCGTACGCACTTGTGATTTGCAGATGTCAGGATTAACAATAATCAGTGCACAGCCAGAATGCATCCACTCGTGATATTAGATGGTTGAAAAATATATATGTCACTCACTTCTCTATAGATAGATATCTTCGTTTTTAGCCATTATTTGCAGCCTTCGCCCAGATTTTCATTTTTTAAATCATTAATTTAAAGCAAATGTTGAGATTTCAATGTGACTGTGAGTCCGGTTAGTAAAGGTTTAAACTATGAGAGCTCCTAAACAGAACCAAAATAAATGCAATTGAATAACTCTGTGCTCAACATTTGTTGTATAACAACTAATATAGAGTGCACAATTATTCAACTGTGTACATATAGTCATATATATATTTATATATCAGCAAGTCGATATTTACACAGCACAGACAAATACATTCTCTCAAGTTAAATATAACTACAATTTTTTTCCCCCCCCTCATAAATTTTCTCCGTCACAACAAGGTTTCCCTAACGAATGTTTTGGTATTTGTGTTCAAGTTTTCTCGTATACCCAAACAGACAATCCTCTGTTGTCTTTTACAGTTAAATACGTCACGAGAATAATCATCATTGTTACAGCAAACAGAAGAAATCCATTCCCACCCACCCCAGAACCGACCCGCCCGTCCCCTCCCCGGATGGTAAGAGTGCGGCCTCCCCTCCCGCCGCCTGCCGACTCACAGACACACAGACAGACACACAGAGGCGCGTGGAGACGCAGGTGGTGGTCGAGAAACGCTCCAACGATGACCAGATCGCCCTGCGGAGGAAAGAAACAGGATGCACCAATCAATCAATCAATCAAGTTAATCTGTATGGCAAATTTCAGCAAAAGAGGTTTTCAAAGATGCTTTTCATCGCGGGTGTCCAAAGTGCTTTTACCAAACTTTTACCAAATACTTTTTTATTTACTTGAGTAAAAATATGTTGAAGTAGTGCTACTCCTACTAAAGAACCCACTGGTGTATTTCAGTTACATTAACTTAAGGCTTTCTAAGGACGGATATCCTGAACTGACTGGTGAACTCACCGTCCTGCAGCTGTTTTGGCTGAGGAGGTTTACATCTGGTTGGAGTAGGAGGTGGGCTGCTGATCGTAGCCCTGGTTGTAGCCTCCGTCTTCGTTGTAGCCTCCTTGCTGGCCGTACTCGGGCTGGTATCCGCCCTGGGTGCCGGCGTATGGGTCCTGCTGTCCGTAGCCTCCCTGGCCAAAGGAATCGGGGGCGGGTTGCTTCTCTTGCGATGGGACGTGTGTTCCCGTGAACGCAGCCATCCAGCCAGTCTCTTTCAAGACGAACCACAGGTTTCCCACCCATAGGATCAGATTGATGAACCCAAAAGCCTGGATGGAGACCAATGTTCATCGTTAGAGTGGATAATCTCACAGTGATTCTTTATGCAGCTCAGAATCGGGAACCCACCACAGAGGTGTTGAGCCCAGAGACTTTGGGGTCGTGGACCTCTTTGCAGAGGTTTTCCTGATCGTCGCAGGCCCGGATGAGAGTGATGACCCTTTCTGGATCGGTGGCTGTCTTCACGTCTGACAGGCCTTTAGCCCAAGCACATGATGAGACCAGCCACATAAAGGCAAACACTGCCGTCACAACAAAGTCCTAGAACCAGAAACACAAATCCATTGTTGAAACCAACAACATGATATCAGCATGTCACTGTAATTCCATCACTAAATCAATCCTGCAAGGATTTTATGATTTTTTTGCTAAGTCAATTATTTTGTTTGGCTACTTCAGGAATATTCACAAAATTTTTTCTTCGTTAAACGCCTTCTGAAATTTACATACTGAAGAAAAAATATGAGAATGAAGCAACAATCAGATAAATTTAGGTTATTTTAACACCTGTTAGTCTGATTGGGGACTAAAGTTGCAACATTTGTTAAATTTTCAGCCACTGTGGTTCGCATTCACCCCACACTGTGTCAAATTAAACAAACTAATTGAAAAACGTGTTCCCCTCCTCGCATGTGGTGGCGCTGCAGTAAAAACTACTGAAGGAAATGACACAAAATCCTGCGAAGAAGACATGAGAAACAGCAGATTTTTGTGGTTGAGGATTTCTGTTATGACATTGATAAAGGAACTAGATTTCCTGGAGAAATGGACCGTGACCCATTTCTCCAGCCAGCGTGAGACTCTCATGTTTGTTTTGGTTCTGTTTACCCAGAATGCCCTGCGCTGCAGTGCGCTTCCTGCTTTTTGGAGCAGTTTCTGGTCCGCTTGGCGTTCACTTATGTATTCAGGACGTGCCAGAGTTCACTTCAACCAAACCAGATTTAGTTTCTTTGGTCTGATTCAGAGTTCGATTACGCGTTCACACTTTCCCAAACGAACCAGATTTTCTATAAAAACGCACCAGAGTTCGATTAAAGTGGACTAAACACGGCTTAAAGAATCTTAGTAGCTTGATTTAGGTTTCTAGCTGCATCGATCATGAACTGTAACTTAACATCAAGTAAGGCTAACCCAGCAGAATAACATAAGTAAGAAATACTGCCACCTGCAGGTCAGAGTTAGCATCACTCTCACCCAATGCTTTTGACCATTTTTGTGTAAAAATTGCAATAAACCCACAGCTATGATTTAGTCTGAAAAAATGCATTGATCTGTTGATTTTGTGTGAATTTCCGCAATAATGACATCCCGAAAACTAGAGGAGCTGCTAAATGTTGTAATGTAAATATTGATAAAAATTAACCCATGTTTTAATTGCTCTTTTCTTTTCAAGGTGCTTAAGAAGAAGCAAGTTTTTCTGATGCTAAAGGCTTCTTTTGGATGACATTTTTTCTATTGCCAAGGTGGCAGAAACAGAAATAAACAGTCAATTTTACATTCTATGTAAGTTTTAACAATATTAAAATAAATGTTATTTTGTATGTATGGCTCCTAAAGTACAAAATATAAACCTACCAAGCAGTTGTATGAAATTATAATGTTGCTATTTGATATTTTGTGCAATTCAAGCTGAAAAATGTAAATAAAAGAACTCACAATTCGGGGCCCCTTGTTGTTTTCGCGGTACTTCTCCAGCACGAAACAGTAGGTGGCGAGGGCTGCCATGGAGTAGAGGAAGGAGAAGACGGCGATGGTGACGAAGAACTCGGCTGAAGAGGAGTAGTCTCCGACCAGGAACTGGCGGTCCGGTTTCTCTCCCTCACAGGTGGGAGCGTCAAAGTAAACCTGATGGAGCCTGAAGACAACGCAAAAGAAAAAAAACAAAAAGACAAGAAGAAGAGAGAAGAGCAAATGAAACAATACTTCAGGAGAACAACATGTAAATCAAATCAAATGAATAAATTATTTTAACAAAGTACCTGAACGGATATTCAAATTCTACTTCTATTCCCAGGTTACTATATGATCGGTTTTTACACTCCACACTCATCTTGAACATGCCAGAGTAGCTGCCACATGTCGAGAAGGCGAAGATCGCAAAGATCTGGAGAAAAAAAGGATAAAAAACAAAAAAGCACAAGAAGAATAAGTTTGTTTTTCCAGACAATCTTTCAGGCTTCGCCCACAAACTGGAAAAAGAAACGCGTGGAACTTCATTTCTCAGCATTAAGAGCAAGTTTGGCGATTTTGGTGAAGCCGTATTCTTCCTCACACAAGGCAATAAACGTCTTCCTCGACCAACTTGTTTACTTCTTATACTTATTTACATTTATAGCACCTTGCAAAAGCATTAAAGATTCTTAAAATATTACACATTTTTTCATGTTAAAACCACAAAATTTAAAGTGTTTCACTGGGACTTGAAGACACAGACCAACAAATAATAATACATAGCAATAATGGCCCAGATCTGAATAAAAATGAGAATCTGTGACAAAAGTGGGAAATAAATGTTTACAGAGACTTTATTTTCAATGTGACTGAACTTCAACTACTTTGCAAAAAAAAATATAGGCAAATATTTCAGTTTCTGGACGTGTGACGATGCTGGAATTTTAACCTAAACGACATTCAGCAAATGTTGCTTCAACATGTAGGACATTGACTTTTAAATCCTTTATTTGTATTTAAAAAACTATTTTAATCGGATTTAACACTTATGTCCTATTTTCAAAATACACTGAATTTTCTGACCAACATGATAAAAGGCATGCACTGGAAAAACAAAATCATACCAACTATTTTTGGTCTACAGCCTTTTAGTACAGGTATCTTAGAGAATTTGATATAAGACAAAAACAACTTACAGTGACTTTTCAGCAAGGTTTGGCATGTTGTTTTTACTCAATAACTATTTAACTTTGACAAAAAAGTACCAGTTCTACTGACAGATTATTTAACTTGTAACATGAGAAAACTGTCTGTACTTTTTCATCAATACCAAGGAATTATTTACTTTAAAAAGCTCCCATTTCTTTCTGAAAAGTTTCTTGCAAGGTAGTTTTGTCTTATTTCAACTGTATGAAGATATTTGCACAAGAAATTAGTTCCAAGATGCTTGATGTAAGTTCAAGGGGGTGTGAATACCTTTGCAGAATCTCATACTCATACACTACAAAAACTAATTTTTACCAATTGTTCTTGGTCTAGCTTTTGGTGAAAATACCTTAGTACACTTGAAATAAGACAAAACTAACTTACAAGTAACTTTTTATCAGACTATAGCTTGTTTTAAGTCAGTAATTCCTTAATATTGATGAAAAAGTTCCAGTTCCACAAGCAGATTATGTAACATTTACATTGGAAAAATGTCTTGTTATAAGTCTTGTGCTAGTGTAACTAAAACTTTGGAAAATCAATATAAAGGAATTATTGACTTCAACAAGCTCCTATGTGTCGCTGTTTTGTCTTATAATATTAATAATTGTTGCTGTTTCCAATGCTTCCTGCCTGCAGCATCCCTCTGACTGGCCAGCATCCTCCAGTCCCTCTGAGCTGTTAATAAATTCACACCAAGTGTAAATCAATGCACCGTTGTTAACAGCCAACACAGCACAGACTGTCCCTGTTGCCATGGTTATTGGTGAAAATTTTAATTTCTGCGCGGCTGTTTTTTTAATTCCCTGGTTATTTTCCTCCTGAAAGCTGTAGGTTGCTACAGTACAATCAGCCCCGTCCAATAAACGGTCCGAACAGACGCACACTCTCTCACCTACAGCAGATTAGAGGAGCCAGACTATTTTTACCACACCCTCCCGGTTCTGCAGGCCAGATCCGATTGGAGGGACAATCCAGCTATTAATCTGGCTGAGGTGCTTCACCATCTGTCACCGGATCCTCAGCTACAAGCTAGAAAACATCACGCTGCGTCTCTGAGCTAACACGCGACACGTCACTTCCGTCTTAGCTCCATGGTAACGTCTGTCTTCCACAGGCGTCAATAAACGGCGAAAACAATATTGACGGTAGTCTTTTAGCTCATATGACCAGGAGGTTTGTTTCCTCAAATTTTAGGTTTTTGGACGATGTTCAGTTTTGTAACATCGGGATTTTTTTCACCAGTGCGATCCGTCGGTTTGAGTAGCTCGAAGTCAGCTCACCCAAGGCCGCCATCTTGCTTGACGAACGTTTTTTTTACAGCTTCCGTTTATTTGGACTTTTAATTATATGACGGCCGTTTTAGACAGAAAAAATAGTGAATTTCTGTTAAACAAGAAAAAGATAATATTAACCAGAATTTTTATATTAATCAGAACATTATTAGAAAAACAGATTTAACATTTGAAAAGCTATAAACCTGAGCTTGAAAATTTGTTAGAAAAAACCCCCTCAGAAATGTTGAGATTAATCTCACTCAGACATTGACTAGAAAAATACTTGAACATTTCTGAGGTCCAAAAGTTGAAAATTTTGACTTTTTAAAAATGTTGTGAGTTTGAATTTTTATGATTTTGCACTAAGCAGAACATAAATCCTAAATTCATAATTGACTCTATTCTAATGTTTTATCCCTGTTAGAATGATGGAAACAGGACTTTCATCCTGTTTTTACATTTAAAAAACTGAATTTCACACTTTGAGTAAAATATTAGTATCTATGTAAATTGGTAGTAAAGACTGCTTTTAATGTTTTGGTTTTTCTGACCAACATGCAGATGAGGAATAGGGTGAAATATGGCTGCAGCTGAGGTTTAATTCAATATTCACAGCAGGAGTCTGCTGTAGTAAGCTATTCTAAAAATAAAAACTACACCTCTCAGTCAGTTTAATGTATCAATTTCATCAAACCTGCAGTATTTACAACCCAGGTTTCAGTTTTCACAGATATCTTATTTCATTATTTCATCAACAGATCAGAGAATTTCTCAAACAGGAAGCTGCCTTCTGAGGTTTGTTTGCTAACTTTATTTTTTTAATTTCTTTACAAAAATATACGAACTTCTCAAATCTTTTTTTTTTTTTTTTTTTTACATTTTGTCACATAGTACAAACTTGAATATATTTCTGGGTGGTTGTGGTAGATTTACACAAAGTACTGGATTTATAAGGTTGAAGATATGAGATTAATACTATTACAATAAAAGAAACATTTTTCGATATTTTGGCCATGGATGCTAAAAACCAACAATTTCGCTGTTTTTTCCTTTTGATAAGAATCCTGGCTTGTTATTAGAAACTGTTTTATTTCTGAAATTAAATCCCACTCAAAACTCATCATGTTACATAATAGCTAAAAAACAGAAAAGAAAAGAAAATGATAGTGAACATTTTCTTCGATTTTTGCTTCCAAATCTTAACAGTTTAAAACAAATGCATTGTGCTTGCAGAAATCCAGATGTGGATGCAGGTAGGTTTTAAAAACAAATGCTGATTTTTGCAAGAACAAAGTCAGCATTCTGTATTTCTGCATGTTTATATATGCATGACTGCGTTTCTGATCTCTGCAGACAATTAGAGGAGGACTAGAGCCATGGCAATACATCACAGATAAAATATCTTCACCAAAGTATAAAGAAATCTGTTTTCCATGTTGTCTGTCTCTCTTTGGGTTAAAGAAATACAATTCACTGTTTCAATATTCCTTGGTTTGAATATTTGGTAAGACTTTGTGAGAAAATAAACTCCTACCAAATATTTTTTGTCTAGTTTCTAGTGCAAATATCTTCGAAATAAGACAAAACTAACTTGCAAGTGACTTTTCAGTAAGTCAGTTTTGCCTTTTAGATATTTGCACTAGAAACTAGACAAAAATACTTGGTAAGATTTTGTGTTTTTGCAGAGACTCACCATAAAAACTAATTATTTCATTGTCCAAATCACATATAGACCAGTCAGTCCTGCTAAATCTGGAGCTAGAAGCACATAAACTGGATCTAAATGGGAGTGTTACAGCAGAGCACCATCAATCCTCCGTCTGCTCTCGCCGTGTGGCGGGTAAGTAAGTACTGGGCGGTCAAAGTAACGATGCCACACAGCGAGTGCCATGGTAACACAGCTAGCAGGAAGCAAGCTGGTTTCTGCTCCTCCTGCTCCTCTGTGCTGAGAAGATAAAAAGTATTTCACTCTCTGACACAAACTGTCGGCCACTGCTGTTCCCACAGAGTGTGAATTCCTCTCAGTCGCAGTAAAAGGGACACAAACATGGACAGTTTTAAAAAGAAGCCATCAAAGGCTGAAAGGTTTCGGTTTTTAGGTGGCCCTGTCCATATTGATCTAGAGAAAAACAATCCTTGACTTAAAATGAGAACAAGACAATGTAGATATTTTAAACGGTGATAAAAATTTTTAAAAATGACTTAAACTTGTAATTATTTTGGTCTTCATCCTTGTTTTGTCTTGAGGCTCAGCGCATATTGGTTTGATCAACCCAAAGCATGTTGTTCCTAACCAATAGGAACAACAGCGCTGCAAAACATAAAATCTTACCAAGTATTTTATGTCTAGTTTCCAGCGCCATCTTTATTTCTGCATGAATAGCTCCTATTAAGTACGACCAGTGGCGCCCTCTGCTGGATGGCGGCCAAACTGCAACATTAAAAGAAGGCTGAAGCCAGGGGTGTCAAACTCATTTTTGTTTTGGGCCAAATCCAGATCATGAAGGCTCTTAAAGGGCCGGTTGTTCCAGAATGTATTGATAAAACCTGTTCACAAACTGTTAAAATACCAATGAATCCTCAAAATTAAATATTATTATTGAACATCTTCAGGATTTCATGATTCTTTTTGTGATGTTTTTGCAATAAAAAAGTGTTTGTGGTACTAATTTGGAAATATTTGTGCTTATTTATGATGGTAAATTTAACTTTTTATAACTCACTGTAAATATCATGGACTATAATCTGACGTCAGTTAAGGCTGAGGGAGCTGATCGGTACAAGTATGAATGTTTTTGACAATTTTTGAGAAAAATCTGCAATAAAATCCCAATTATGTATTATAGCAAAAAAGTGTTGATGGAAATTTGTGATAATTCTCAATAAACTGGAGGGACTAATTGATATAATTTGGCAGTAAACAGATAAAAACTGCATTGATTTGATTGAT